TAGTGCGGAAATTATTTTTGAGGAATTAGGTTAGCTTGTGATTTCCTAGCTCTTGTGACTGGAGTATCATGATGCTATCAATTTTGATATCTATATTTCCGTCCTTGACACATTTAAACTTTTGACTGCAGAATTAGTATATCAGTGAAATTTGCTTATTTAGGTTCACTCGTTGTGGTCTCGTCTCGTCAGCCGACCGCGACGACTTTACGCTCAGTAACAAGCTTGTCCTTTTAATACAAATCCTCAAGAAATGTGAAGAAATTGGTGATAAGTTGTACGCATTGACATATGATCTTTTCCATGAGATATTCTTTGTTTTTCACATACCTATTTTTTGCAGATTAGTCTTCTCTCAGTCGTTAGAATCTTTGAGTTTAATCAAAAAGACGTTAGAATATCTTGATGAGACGAAACAGTGGTTCGCTGATGGCCACGAAGCTGTAAAAGCCGAAGGAGAGGTATAGTGCTTGTTTCGTCATAACTTATATGAACCTGGATTTTTTAAACAGAAGTGGGGTTGGAAGGAAGGTCGAGACTATATGGTAATTGACGGGTCTGTACAGTCTGGGAAACGAGACACTGTACAGGTTAAATTCAACAATCCGAGTAATTTGCGTGCGAGGTGATTTATTCCAGACTACGGTTTTGTTAAAAATTTTGTTAAATTGTTTTTCTGTGTTGTCTTAGGTTAATGTTAATATCTACACGTGCGGGTTCCCTCGGGACGAACATGGTTGCTGCAAATCGAGTGATAATCTTTGACGCATGCTGGAATCCTTCCCATGACACTCAATCGCTCTTCCGTGTTTATCGATTTGGTCAAACCAAGCCGGTGTACATATATCGATTTATTGCGCAAGTAGGTTACTTCACATTCTTTTATATACAGGTTTATAGAATTCCTTTGTCAAGGGCACTATGGAAGAGCGAATCTACAAACGCCAAGTTACAAAAGAGTCAACTTCAATGCGGGTTGTAGATGAAGCTCAAATTCAACGACATTACGATGGCCATGACTTGGAAGAGCTTTATCTGTATGTCGAAAATCTCTCGACTTTTTAAGGGTTTTCAGCTTTGTTTTATAGGTTCAATCCCAACGAGTTGGACGCTAATGATACACAAGCTAGACCAACTTTTGCTCCTCCAAAGGTGAAAAGGTTTCACTGCTATGCGACAAGTTTGCGAGCTCATAAAT